CAAATGATGTTTATTAATACCAGTATGGCCTCTACAGATAGAGTCTGCTTCCAATTGGCAAGCCTCTTCTCGCATATTTCCACAATACCCTGCCAAATTGATTCTGCTTTGTCTTAGCTCCCAATGCAAACCCCAAGTAGGTCACAGGGGTGAACCTTTTGTGATGTCAGGAACCCCGTTCACTAAGAGTGGGCGTTCGGTACTTCAGTACGCTATTTAAAAATTACGGTTTGGTACTTCGGCATTCGGTAAATCAATTGTGCATACCAAATACTGTACCAAAGTAGTTCGGTACGGTTCGGTATTTTTTGTTTGGTTCGCTATGATTTCGATACGGTTTCCATAGCCAACCAAACTAAATTGAAATGATTTTTGCATTAGTATAAAACATTAAACATAGCGGGCCAAAAGAATTGAAATCGAGCATATAGAGTCAGAATCCATAACAAACAAAAAGAAACTCTCTGTTGTGAATTTCGCAGACACAGATAGACCAAACTTTAGAAAACCCATAAGACCTAATTATCTCATCTAACTATGAAGTAAGGTGACAACCAGTTGTTGGGATAAAATGAGGAAACACAAACGAAATCACTGTCTCAAATTTGCAAGGAAAGTATCACTGGTTGAGACCCAGAAATATGATAAGGAAAATGATATTGACCATAAAGCTAGTAACATACTTTGGGCTGGGAAATGAGAAATTAGATGGTAAATAATTGGGCTCAGCAGAATAAGCTTTGTGTTGGGTTGGCCTGGTCTAATTGTTTCGGTATCTCGGTATACCGAAATATTTAAACCTCAATACCGAGGAACGTACCGAAATACCGAATAACCAAAAAATCTATACCGTAGTACCAAATACCGAATAAATCGATACCGAAATATCGAATTAATACGGCTCAGTTCGGAATTCGGTTTTTCATATTTTATGCCCACCCCTACCGTTCATAGGATATATCAAGCTTTTCATGCAGTTGATGTGTAAGTCTAAGTAGCCTCAAACACTGTGAAAATAAGCTACTCCAAACGTGCACCACAAAGAGTAACATGAGCATAAAAGAGGTAGGTGTGAGATGACCATGTTGCAGAATCCCTTGATAGGTGATGCATCCAACTTATTCGGCATGTTTCATCGTTCTACTTAAGGCCTCCATTACAAGGATAAAAAGGAAAAGTGACATGGAATCACCATGTACGCGGCCCTTTTAGGCAGGAAAAAAATGAGCATCAGCACCATTTATTAGATATGGAGTATTTGACAGAAAACACACAGTGTGTTATCCAACTCCTCCATTTGATGTTAAAGCCTAAATCTTTGAGCACAGAAAGCAGGAAGTTCCGGTTGACACAGTGTTGTGAAAAGCGTGAAGCGAGGAAAAGCGTCAAGCCCCTTTTTACTTAAAGTGAGAAGCGAAGCGCTTGTCTTTTGAAGTGAAGCAGAATTTTAAAAAAATAAATAAATATTACATAGACAACACATATAACTATAAGCAAAAAAATAGCAGCAACTGAAACGAAAAAAATTGGGCAGCATTTCGCTGCAATTTAAGACTGAAACAGTTGAAGAAAAAGAAAAAGAAGACGAAGAAGAAGAACGAGAAAAAGAAGAACGGGAGGGGAAAAAAATTGGTAGCATTTCGCTGCTATTTTGAGACTGAAACAGTGAAAGAAAAAGAAAAAGGAGGAGGAAGAAATCACATAGCTGGGCTTGAACCTTAACTTGAACTTGAAAAGTGTAGAAAATGGGAACCCTAGTCGCATGTTTTTTTCTGCTGCTTAATGATGTTTTGAAAAAATAGAGCTTTTTTAATTTTTAATCGTTGGCAGCCTTAATATATCGAAGCGCTCGCTTCTGTCGCTATTGTCGCTTCTCATGCTTCTCGTTTTTTTGGCAGAAGTGAACGCTTTATAACACCTGCTATGCTTCACAACACAGAAGCAACCAAGTTCCCGCTTCGCTTTGCTTCACGCTATCGTTGGCAGCCTTAATATATCGAAGCGCTTGCTTCTGTCGCTATTGTCGCTTCTCATGCTTCTCGTTTTTTTGGCAAAAGCGAACGCTTTATAACACCTGCTATGATTCACAACACAGAAGTGACCAAGTTCCCGCTTCGCTTTGCTTCACGCTAAGCACTGAAGCGAGCGCTTTTCACAACACTGGGTTGACATGATTGAACTCAATATCAAGTTTGCATACTACGAGCTTATTCCTTTGTCGAGACATTCTTTAACAATTAGAGTTGCATCCATCATCTTCTCCTCTCAATAAAAGTCATTTGCGAGCTAATGTATCAATTTATCCATGACCCTTTTGAGTCTCTCTGTTAAGAATCCAGAGACAGTTTTATAGATGCTACCAGTTAAGTTTATGAGTTTAATGTCTCTCAATTCCATCCCACCATTCTTCTTGGGAATTAGAGCTATATTATAGCATTTAGGCTTCTCCCAAACCTCTCCTGATGGTAGAAGAAATCCAAAGCTTGCATAATGCCATTTTGAATAACTAACCAGCATCATATATAAAATGCCATAGTAAGCTCATCCGGACCCGAAACTTTGTCCCCATTACATTGTCATAGGACAGCTTAAGACCTCATGTGCCTCAAAAGGTCTTTGCAAATAGTATTGTTAGTCAAGGGAAAACCAGGTTCCAAAGTAGTTGATTCAGTGTGTAAGGCTGTGTAGAAATCTAAGATTTCATTCCTGATGTTTACAGGATCTTCCTTGATATCACTATCAACCATAAGCTTATCAATAATTCAATATGGTTATACGTTCGCGCATAGCCAATCTTTGGAAGTTTTTGGTATTCTTGCCCTCATGTCTAAACCACAAGCATATGGACTTTTACTTCCAAGAAATTTCTTCAAATCTTGCAATGTCATCTAGTTCCATGTGTAAGTTAGCTATTTCAAAAGTTCGTCTTCATTAAGCATTCTTTCTTCATATTTGATCAATTCTTGATTGACAATCTAGTAATGCTTCCTTTCTACACTCTATATTACCACAAAAAAAAACTCTAGACTACCAAAAGAATATCTGCTCCATTCTTTTAAAATCTACTTTTCCAAGTATATCAGTTACAAAAAAAGGCTTCCCACCACCCTTTAATTAGCTTTTAAGCCCTCGAGTTCTAGCCACTTTTTTCAAACTTGAAGTAGGAGTTTGTCCTTTCACAATTTCCACACCGGAGCATGATTGGAGGGTGATCTCTCGCAAGTTTTGGTAGCACATATTGTTGATACAGCTGGAGTCTTCATCCAATTCCATTGAAAAGAGTATACCATTAATCCTCGAGGTAGCATTATCATGTTCTCCATGAAACCAAATGAATTTTCCTTCATTCATACGGGTATCTATCAACTACAAATCCTCTAAACATGAGGAGAATTAAACCATAGTTTCTATAGTTTTGTTGCTGCATTTTCTTTTTAACACAAATCTAGTAACATTAAAATCCTCAACTACCACTCAAGTACCAGACAACCAGTTAACAATAAGAGCATCATTAATAATTTTCCATCTTTAATGAAAGGCAGTTGATGAGAAGATACAAGTTTCCATATAATCTTCCATAAAATTCGGCTGTCACTTTAGTTAAAATCTTCTATAAACTATTGATGAGGCAGATTAGTCTGAAATCACGTTCCTCTTTTGCTCCCACTTTTTTGGTAATAAGAGTAATGCGGGTGGCATGCAGACTTCTAACGAAATGTTCTTGTTCAAAGCAAAGATTAAGTGTAGAAGGGCATAGGGATGAATTATCCACCAAGTTTCGAACCCTGTACCACTAGATTTCTAGATTATTAGAGAAAGGATGATACCTCCTGGTTTAAGCTGTTGTTCACCATAGCTGGTTACTTCTCACGATTTGAATCAGGTCAAAATTCCAATCATCACAAAATTTTCCAATCACCCTCGTGCTAGTCTCAACCAAATTGGAATTTTATACACCAAATCATCTGTTTCTACCTCAATTTCTTTTGAGATATTATCTATATTCTATAAAGCCCTTTATCCTAATCCTTGCCCATAGGAGGTGGTTTTTCAGAAGTGTCTCCTCTTTAGTTTCAAGCCGCCCCACACATTTGTCCTTAATGCCTTCAAAATTTCCAGTGACCATAGATAGCCCGGTAGACCTAACAATCGGATCCAAGACCATTTTGATCTAAAGCTATGTTGCGTGGACTCTTCAAAATGCAGCTGCACCCGTGTCGAATCCTCCAAAAATACACTACATTTAAAGGATCCGACACGCACCCGGCGACATTTTCGAAGAGTCCGAGCAACATAGATCTAAAGTCAATTGGGATATAACCTGAAGTAGGAGTCACCCTCTCAGATTGAGGTTAAGAGTCCTCCATTGCCAAGTACCAAGCTTGACGCATCCTGTTTCTGCTTTCGAAGGGAACTCGAAAAGAAAATGAAACTCGTCCAATTCAAAGACCTGGAACCTTCCACTTATTCTAGATCCATTTTCTGATCTTCAAACAGGTTGCAATTTCATCTTGTCCCCGATAAAGTATCTATTTAGAAAATCTCTTTTTAATGGGAGCATCTGTTTAGAAAATCTTTTCTCTCATTTTTCATTGATACTAATTCTTTTTTCTCCCCATCTAGTATTGCTAGGATCTACTGTGTTCTCTAGCCAACAGTTTAGCTTCGCAACCTCTATGTATCGGATGCTATACCAAAATTTAATTAAATCAATCACCATATACCAAACTAGATCATATGAAATAGGAAGGATGTAATAGTACATTACATGAATTCCTAAATGAATATTTTGAAAGTCCTGAGTAAGTTACTAGAGTTGTATCTAATATTGCATGGTCTATCCAAAAGAAAGAAAGCTAATATTGGACTAACCTAGTCAACTTCTTTAAATGATGATAAATAGCAAAAACCGCATACTGACATTTACAGTTAAAAAAATAACCTGGACAACTAAATAAATCTTTGCGATTTCGTGAATATAGAATATATTGATTGTGAAAACTGATGATAGTTCACTAACCAATCGCCATGTATAAAAGCTTGCGAGGCCTAACAATTGAAAATATTCTATCAATGTACTTGAAAACCGCTTTAAAGACTTCCTCGTGTGTCTCCGGGGCAGGCTGCAGACAGTCCAAAACACTTGGTCAATAGAAGAGGACTAAGTTAAAATTTGCAGCATTTATATATATATGTAAAAATTGTACCAGGCCTTCTGGATGAAAACAAGGGTGAATGATTCCGTTCATATCCAAATACAGATTATCGAATTCAATGCCGTTGGGATTAGGGTCGCTAGTGTCAATTGGGACAGTAACCCCATTAATGACGGCTGGGGTTTCTTCGTTAACCTCAACAACAGACTGTGGATAACGCTCCAGTAACCAACGATAGAATGCAGGTATTCCCATTTGAGGCTTGTTCGGCTATTTTCTGAATGTTGTAAGAAACTAGACTAGAGTACAGGGAGAGGGGTTTGAGCTAGGGTTTAAGGTTTTGTATGCCAATTAACAGAATGGGTTTTTTCGCTGTCAAGGAAAAGAGAAGATTTTATATGAGTTTAATTTCATTTTAGGGACATGCAAAATATTAATAAAATCAATAACCCGAGCGAAAAGAATCCTATTAGTTTATTGATAACGGATTATTAGGTTAACGGTTCAATAACGATTTTATGTTATATGATTATTGGTTATAGGTTTGGGGCTCGATTTTGCCAAAATTCTTAAATACTAGTCTTGCGGTACGCGTGTCGCGCGTGTACCCATCAAATTTTAAAAAATCGTTAACAATATGTGCATGTGTATGTTTGAGAAAGCTAGTGATTATTCAATTTTAGTAATCCCGTGAGACTTACTCTAATGTTAGAGCAATAATGCTAAATATTTTGGGCATTTAGACGCGCATTCTACCAAGGTTTTTTTTACAAAAACTTTTTATGTGGGACTTCTTTTTCCTTGTTAATTGACTTAATAGAATAGGTGCTTATGATGATTCACAGCTTAATCTTATAAAGAATAATAATTCCTCATATTAAAGGTTACTTGGAAAATTATTTTTGATAGTTCATAAATAATATTTTCATAATAGTACATTTAGAGTATTTTTTAACAAACAAAAACTAAAAGTATACCTTAAAGAGATATATCACATACAGCATAACAATTTCCATTTTTCTGTCACGGCTCACGACCCAAATCTCATAGTAGATAGTGATGGTGCCCAACGATCCTCTTAGCCAAGCCAACGGTAAACCTCCAACTTAATTATTCATTTTTAACTTTTAAAATTGGAAATTTCTTTAAATACACTGAATTTAATGGAGATCTCATGGAAACATACGTACTTCTTTACCAAAATACCAAGTACGAATAATACATAAATCAAAGTAGTAATAGTAATAATAATAATAATAATAATAATAATAATAATAATAATAATAATAATAATAATAATAATAATAATAATAATAATAATAATAATAATAAGTATAGCGGTGAATAACCACTAGTAGCCCCCAAAAACCGGAGTCACAAGTGAATGAGCGCAATTTAGGGAATATACAAAACCGCTACGGCTACAGTCTAAAATGAAATAGACAGAAATAATTAATAAGATAAGAGGAACACTCCGGGTGCTGCAGTCGAAACATGGAAGGCAACTCACCACTGAATCTCCGTGTAATGCGTCTATGTGCCCATATGACCACTTGAAGTACATGTCTCAGTACCTGCAAAATCAGTGCAGAAGGTAGTATGAGTACGTGAATCAACGCATACCAGTAAGTATCTAGTCTCGCCTCGAAGAAGTGGTGACGAGGATTCGACTTGACACTTACTAGTGGTCAAAATAATAAAATACATAAAGAAGACAAGTATAAAACACAACAAGTAACACGAAACAAATAAGCTTTAATAATAAATTTCCAACCATGGATTATTACGAAATTACTAAAATACCATAACCGGCCAGGAAGGCACAAAATCAATTGTTACCTATACCAAATCAACTCCTAAATGTTACGCACAAGTCTGCCGAGGCGAACGGCTTGATCCCATAGAAATAGTGATATACAATAAGTACGAGCGGCTGGAGTCTAAGCTCCTCCCCCATCCTGAGAAGTAGTTGGAGAAACTAGGGCCAACCCCACCTGGGCCAAGGTACCAAACATGTTCAAGAAGACCTCTAAAGTCTCCTGAAGTCTAGGGGTAAGATCGTGATGGCACCTAGTACCTAATACTAACTTCTCTCGATCCAAAATCCCACCTTAAGGATTGTAAGTACCTAATACTAGGTAAGGCTATCACATAACAAAATCATTAGTAAGTAACAACTTAAATATTAATGAAGGTGGAAAAGAGTACCATAACATGACCAAAAAGAAATTCAGTAGTCATACATCCCAAAACCCGATAATACTAACTCGTAAGCTCTACAGAGAGTACTCAAGGTATCTCAAAATACAATATTGTTTGGAATACAATAAATAGTAAAAGAAAACAATAGAAGGAGACTCCAAAGCCTGCGAGCGAAACAACAGATATACCTTGAAGTCTCCAAATCTCTGGCTACTAACTTGTCACGACCCAAAATTTCACCTTAAGGATCGTGATGGCACCTAGTACCTAAGACTAGGTAAGCCTATCACATAACGGGATCAACAGTAAATAATAACTTAAATATTAATAAAGGCGGAAAGAGTACCATAACTTGACCAAAATGGAAATACATTAGTCATACATACCAAAATTCGGTAATACAAAGTCATAAGCTCGGTAGAGAGTGCACAAGAAATTTCAAAATACAACACTGTTTGGAATACAATAAACAGTAATAAGGAAACAATAGAAGGTGACTTAGATGCTTGTGAGCGGAATATTATGTATACCTTGAAGTCTCCACAACTCTGACTCGATTCTCTAGTGCCTACCATGCTCTCAGGCACCTGGATCTGCACAAAACTGTTCAAAATCATAGTATGAGTATATCATAATCGGTACCTAGTAAGTTTCAAGACTGACCTTGATGGAGTAGTGATGAGGTCCAAGTTATGACACTCACTGGATAAATACAACTAACAACGAAAAACAAACAAAATAAGTATCAACAAAGAATAGGGCATGTGATAACATGACATATTAACCAATAACTTGTAAAACACAAAGTTAAATCATTTAAGAAAAACAAGGATATGTTCAAATCATCGACCCGATCCATCATAAAAATAACATCAAGAATCACCCCGAAATACCGTATAACTTAATCAGCAAACCAACCTTATGATGTCGCGTGATCTACACATGAAATATTTCCCCTTATATATCTACACACATATAAGCCATCTTATTTCGTCGCGTGCGCATCACAATAAAGATTTTCTCTTACTTGTAACACACTATTAGCCTCATTATCTCACTGCATGCACATCAACAAACACAATCGTCATGTCTCCGCATGCGCATTCACAACACAAAAATCAATCCACACCACACATGCACATGTGCCACAACATCACCCAAACAACAATATCAAAGCCACAACAATATAACAACAATATGTGTAGGAATCACAATAATAACACAAGGTACAGGGAGTGAACAAAAATAAAACACGTTTCATATAACAAACAACTCCAATTCATATATTAATAGCCTAAGGTCTAACCCGATCAATTACCACACATATTATAATGATCGGGCCGGTTGTTTTGAGTATATTAGCCCCATTTCCCCTATTTGATGCAATACATATGTGCATTTGTGATTATGAGACTTTTTGGGATGGTTGGTTTGGTTTTAGGGAAGTTTTGGAGGGAATTGGGATGCTTAGTCCCAAGGTTGGATGCTTAAGTTAAGAGGGTTGACCGGAGTTTGAGTTTTGTATAGAAGACTCTGGAATGGAGTTTTGACAGTTTCAATATCTCCATATGGTGATTTTGAACTTAGGCATATGTCCGAATTTGGATTTGGATGTTCGTAGGTTGATTTGATACTTTTTGACGAAAGTTGGAAAGTTGAAGGTTTGAAAGGTTGGTAGGTTTGATCGAGAGTTGACTTTGTTGATATCGGTTTTGGATTTTTATTCCGATAGTTGGTATACGTTTGTTGTGTCATTTGTGACTTGCTTGCAAAATTGAGATCATTCCTAGCAATTTGATATGGTTTGGCACGAGAATTAGAAGTTGGAAGTTCATTTGTTTTCTTAGAATTGAATTGGGATGCGATTCATAGTTTTGATGTTGTTTTAGCTAATTTGAGGCCTCGAGTAGGTTCATGTTGTGTTTTAGGACTTGTTGGTATGTTTGCATAGGGTCCTAGGCCCCCTCCCTCCCAGGCGTGTTTCGGATGAGTTGAGGATCATGTTGGACTTAGTTGTATTGCTGAAGGCATTTGATTTCTTGTGCATTTGCACCTACAAAGGAAGGGTTGTAGGCACGTGATCACAGAAGTGACCAGGTGGTTGCAGATGCGAAGTTGGTCCGGATGGACTGAGTCCACAGGTGCGGACCTTGGAGCGCAAGTGTGCAGTAGCATGAACGAGGGGGATTCCACTAAAGTGGAGATGCATATGTGGATATGAGTCCGTAGAAGCGGATGGTCCGGAGGCTAAGTCATTTTTGCATTTGCGATGGTTTTTCTATAGATGCGGCATCGCATGTATGAGGAAGTGGACCTGTCACAACCCAGATCGATAGGCCGTGACGGGTGCCCAAGTTCTACCTATCGAACACCCTTAAGCTTACGTCTAAGATATAAACATGAAATAAGTGTAGGTCATGCATAACATCTGCAATAAACTACTGATTCATGTGAATAACATATGCGGGAAAACATGCCCAAATGTCATATACATATATATACGAAATACGGTAGGGCGAGCCGATAAGGCCACATACCATCCAACTATACATAACTATCTACAACTGTATAAAGGTTGGGACTGGGCCTCGTCATACCCATATATGTATACAAAAGTATCATACCAAAATCTAAGAGCAGCTCCAGCTCAAATGGAGCACACTAGCTCTCACTGAGCAAGGATCCTAAGAAGGGGGACCGTCAACCTATCTCCTGCACCTGCGGGCAAGAAACACAGGCCCCAAGCAATAGGGGCATCAGTACAAATAATGTACCGATTATGTAAGGCATAAAAATCAGTATATAAAAGACATGAAAGAAACATGGAGTAAAAGACTCAATATTTAAGTCTGAATAGACATGTGAATCATGAAATATTTATAATGTCATGCATATGCGTATAAATGTCATATCATGCATAGATATATGCGTATATAACATCATTCATCCTCTAAGGAAACCCCATCATATCATCTCGGCCTTAGTGGGCGAAATCATCAACATATGCCAGCTGATCAGGTGGTGGTGCGTATATGACGCCATAACCCTTCCCTATACCCCATATACATGTATTATACGCGTATATACTACCATCTGGTCACAGGCCAATATACATATATAAATAAATGCAATGCATAATGATTTAAGTCAATAAGATCTCTCGGAATGTCACGAGACCC